CCTGTTTGGCCAAGCACAACTCCAGCATCAACCGCAACATCCACTCTATGTCTGCAACCTTAAGCAACACATGTCTGCTTCGCAAGCAAATCAGCCGGTGAATCCACAGATACCCTCCTCAGAACAGAACACCACTGGCGAAGAAACTCCGAGTCGGACGGCTTTCTTAAGTCAAAGGGGATCAACCGGGATTTTGTTCATGGGACAGGGTCATTCTGTTCATTAACGACTCTGGTAACCCGCAGGTCCACGGGTGAACGTGCCGGCATTGCCCAGGTCCAACGTCGCACGCGTCCCTCACATGCCTGCATCTTCAGGTTCTGGGGAAGGCTTCGGCCACGCAACCAGTTCTGGCGAAGCGATTCGGACGCGGGCTCGGCCCAAGGAGAAAAATGGGACAAAATGTTGCAACAGGCTTTGCTTGGACTTCAGATACTTTTCCTCCATGTGCCTCTTTGGTGAATTGAAATAGTTGGCTTGCCACAGTGGAACAAAAGGAGTTCTTTTGATCACGTGCTGCTAGATCAAACTTACTCAGTGAGAAGTGCGGCGTGTGCATCCGAACTGTATGAATCCAAGATGATGTGTGTCAAAAATAGGGCTGTGCAAAAAATATCTGCGCGACCTTCCGAGAACAGGTATTGACTCACTGAAGAAGTCGTGGTGGTTTCTCGAGAAGGAGTTCCGGTTCCCGGGGTCGCAGCTCATCCCGGTCAGTTCGGTGAGGTCTTTAGTGGGAGACGAAAGATCATTTGTGGAAGCCGTTGGAGGCGGGTTGCATGAGGCAAATTGATTGGAAGGTGAGAGGTCCTGTTGTTCACCAAGACCTGAACACAAAGGGAAAAGCTGGCCATCCTATTACTTTCCCAACAGCAGTGCATCCCCTAAGTGCAAGCAGGCAGTAGAGTCAGTATAGGTGGCTACCAACAGCCGTGGCCAATAACATGATCATCCAAAAAAACGTGGCAACTGAGCAGGTCTCTCCTTGATCTCAGCCATCCTCTTCTTGTGCTCCAACTCACTGGGGTTGGTGAACTCAAGCACTGCTGTGATGCACGACAGCAGAAAGCCTTAGCAGCAAAAAACCAGGCGCGACCTAAAATGTTCCACCGGTTTGATTCGTTACGCAATAGTTTTGGAGCACCACCAAGCTTCAAAGCTTCGCACGATAATCGTAAAAAAAAATGGCCTTCAACCTAGTAGCAAAAGGAACCTAATGGCAATGGCCTCAAACCTAGTAGCGATGGCCTCCAACCTAATAGCGGTGGCCTCCAACCCAATAGCGATGGCCACAAACCTAATAGCGATTGGCTCCAACCTAATCGTGATGGCCTCCAACGTAGTAGCGATGGCCTCCAACCTAATGGCCTCCAACCTAGTAGCGATGGCCTCCAACCTAATAGCGATGGCCTCCAACCTAATAGCGATGGCCTCCAAACTATATAATAGCGATGGCCTCCAAACTAATAGCGATGGCCTCCAACCTAGTAGCGATGGCCCCCAACCTTTTAGCGATGGCCTCCAAACTAATAACGATGGCCTTCAACCTAATAGCGATGGCCTCCAACCTAATAGCGATGGCCTCCAACCTAATAGCGATGGCCTCAAACCCAATAGCGATGGCCTCCAACCAAATAGCGATGGCCTCCAACCCAATAGCGATGGCCTCCAACCTGATTCGATGGCTTCCAAACCAATAGCGATGGCCTCCAACCCAATAGCGATGGCCTCCAACCTAATAGCGATGGCCTCCAACCTAATAGCGATGGCCTCCAAACTAATAGCGATGGCCTTCAACCTAATAGTGATGGCCTGCAACCTAAATGTGGCTTCACCACCAAGCTTCAAAGCTTCGCACGATAATTGTAGATCCTGAGCTACACTTCTGATCATTGATGGATTCCAACCACCTCAGACGTAACCAGACTCTACATCCACCTGAAGAGAACACCGTCCTGGGCCGCCCACCAAAGAGCACGGCCCCCGTGATCTGCGAGACAATACACCTGCACTGTCGTTGAGACGGCGTCTGCACGATCGGGTCGCACCGGGGTATCGTTTTCGGTGTCACCGTACCCTCTTGGTCCGGGTGGAGGTTGCTTGGAAACCTGTCTTCAAGGAGATTCGAGACATCCAGAACAACCAGACTTGAATGTTCCAGTCTAGAACATCCAGTCTTGAGCATATATTCAAGGTTCCGGACTTCTTGAGATGTTTCAGACTTGAATCCCTTCACCCCCGGCCCTTGTCCCGCAGCAATCGGGCGACGTGTGTTCGATCAACCTGATCGAACTGGGAAGGCTCATCCCATCGGGTCAAGTTGAAAACAAAATCCTTGACCTGTCTAAAAACAGGATTTCGCGGGGTTGAGAAATTCTGCACGTGAGCCGGAATTGGAAAACAAATGATCCTCACCCGTGATACTTTCTTGCAGTGCTTTTTGGCCAGGCACCTCACCAACAGTGTCGGGGTGACTCAAACAAGATGGAGCCCACGAACCCGAACGCAAACACGTTCGAAAAGTGCTTGCGTGTGTCATGTTTTTTCTAGTCCAGCTCGCTAACGTCGAGGTTCGTCAGCCACATGAGCAGGCAAACAAGATCGAAAATACAGGGCCAATAATTGTTTCTCTTGCGGACCGCTCTTGTGGCCACACTTCGACCTTCACCCCCGCTCTCCCCAATTTGCAGCTTCTGCTCCTTCTTGTCCGGAAATCTTTCATGCGACGGCGGAGTGTCACTGTCGGCCAAAAACAAATTGAGTTGAACGAAATTTGCAGAGACAACTTCAGCCTTGCGCTTGTCGACGCGTCATCAAGCGCCACTGTGTCAATGACCGAGTCACGCGACACCACGTCGGGGACTCTGCCGACGCCGCTGCGTCACTGCGCACTTGCGACTCTCCAACACAGCCTGTTGCGCCGCCGCCGGATCCCAGGTCATCTCCAGGACCATGGCATGATCATGGCATCTAACACTTCTCTGCTGCCTGTAGCAGCTGGCGTCTGGACTGGCCCGTGACCCGCGCAGACCGCCACCACTTCTCTGCTGGTCCATGATTATCGGCGACCGCGGAGTGATCCGACAGCTGTATTCCTTCCGAAAAGGAAGAGTCCACGCTAGTGTCTCGCCAAGGAGGACACTCTTGTGGGTTCGTGCGGACACTCTTGTAGGACACTCTTGTGGGACACTCCTCTTGTGGGACACTCTTGTAGGACACTCTTGTCGGACACTCTTGGAGGACCCTCTTGTGGGACACTCTTGTAGGACACTCTTGTGGGTCACTCACTCTTGTGGGACACTCTTACGGGCCACTCTTGCGGGACACTCTTGTAGGACACTCTTGTGGGACACTCTTGTAGGACACTCTTGT